GGTTTAGGCTTTATAGGGGTTTAGGGGTTTAGGAGTTAGGGGTTCAGGGTTTAGGGTTTAGGGGTTCAGGGTTTCGGGATGCAGTGACAAGCCCCCCTTCCCTTGTTCAGGGATTCTAGCAGAGGATCCCAATAAGCGTGTCGGCAAGGGAGGGGGGTAAGTTCATCAAGGTCTTACCTCAAGCCGAATCGCGTTGCCCTCAGAGCCCCAGACTCTCAACTTCTGCTCCCCTGAAACCCTAAATCCTAAACCGCAAATCCTAAACCCAAACCCTTAGCCCGAAGCCCTAAGCCCTATAAGCCCACTGTCCTAAACCCTAAGCCCTAAGTCCTAAACCCGAAACCCGGAGGTTGAAAGCAGAGGGCATCATCAATCTCGGCGCCTTGTTGAAGAAGTCGCGGACGCTGGTGGTCGTGTGGGATCCGTCATATCTCTCCAGGCCTGTTCGCGGCCTTCCGCTGTACCTGCTCATAGAGGGTTTGGGGGATTAGGGTTTATAGGGCTTAATCCGGGTTTAGGGTTTAGGGTTATAGGGCTTAATTAGGGTTTAGGGCTTAATCAGGGTTTAGGGTTTAGGGTTATAGGGCTTAATTAGGGTTTAGGGCTTAATCCGGGTTTAGGGTTTAGGGTTATAGGGCTTAATTAGGGTTTAGGGCTTAATGAGGGTTTAGGGTTTGAGGGGTTAAGGGTTTCGGATCGAGGCCGACGAAGAAGAATCGAACAAGCCAGGCCCCAGCGGTGCGAAAGTACCAACAACAAGACAACTCCACATGCAGACGGTCTGCCCCTTAACCGGGCTCGTACCTCCGCGGCTTTAAACCCTCATGCGGGCACTCTGCAGAAGGGTGGGGACCCTCACAGATTCCCAGGCACCTAACTTCTTATGTATTTATATAAACCGTTTGCCCTAAACCCCAAACCCTTTCGATGAGAAGACCCTTCGGTCAGAACGTCCCTTTTCGTAACGCTCGTCGTCACGACCTTAACATTCTTGCTCGCCTTGACCTCTCACACGTGTGCCGGTTGCATCCACTAGGCATTCCAACAGCATGCGCGGTCTGATTTCAACCCAGAATTCCACATGCTCGTGCGCTTGAGCTTTATAACTTTGATTGTTGGCTTGGCTTGGCTTTAGCTGGCTTTGGCACGGCTTGCTGTGAGCATTGTGTTTGTGTCTGTAGTCTTGGAGTGGGCAAGCCTGTGGGCTAACCGGCGCGCAGCCTCCAAACCCTAAACCCCTACTAACCCCTACTAACCCCTAAACCCACAAACCCCTACTAACCCCTAAACCCCAAAACCCACAAACCCCTACTAACCCCTAAACCCCTAAACCCGTAACCGCCAACGCCCCGAAATTGTAAAGTCCCAGACCCTGAAATGCAGGAACTCCGGGCCCCGAACCCCATCCTTCTGTAGGGTTTAGGGTTGTAGGGTTTAGGGTCTAGGGTTTAGGGCTTAGGGGGGTTGTGGGGTTAAGGGGTTTAGGGTTGTAGGGTTTTGGGGTTTTGGGGTTTACAGTTTCGGGTTTAGGGTTTAGGGCTTTATGGTCGAGGTTTGAGGGCCTAAGGGGGAGGATGAAGTTTAGGGTTTCGATGTTCGGGGCGTGCCGCAGCTGGGCTTTCGGGCCACTTAAGAGGTTGTTTTCATCTTTTTATATGTTTAATCTTTTTAGAAGTTATAAGTGTTTAGGGTTTAAAGGGTTTAGGGTTTGGGGTTAGGGTTTAGGGTTTAGGGTGAACACGAAGCCCTAGACGACTACTCCGAACTGTGGGTCGACGAGTTCTGGTTGTTGCTCCCGGGAGGCTCTGGTGCGTTTTTGAGCTTGCAGCGTTTCTCCACGGCCATCGTGACGACCCCTCAAGCCTGCTCAAGAAGCACTTGGTCATCAAGCCTTCCGTTCCTGGGGTTCTTCTTGGAAGATTTTAATTTTTCAGTTTCCATAAATAGGGATCTATATTAGATAATAGGGTTTCCTAATTATGGTAACTTAAGTCCCCTAACGTTACCATAAATATAGGGACTAATAGTAAATACTATGGTTTTCTAATTATGGTAACTTCAATTAAGTCCCCGAATCTATAGTAATTAATATATGGTTTCCTATCATTACAGTAGAAGCCCAAAAGTTGGAAACCCAATAGCCTCAATCCTTAAGAGTAAGGTATAAGGAATCCCAGCACTATTTGTCCTTAATCAAGTTTCCAACTTTTTGGGGTTTACTATATGGTAACTTAAGTTGAAATCCCTTAAACCCTAAACCCTAAGCCCTAAACCCTAAACCCAACACGAACCCAGGTTCTGGTGCCCCTGACTTTCCTGGTCGGCGCCAACGCGGCCCTGACGCTGCTCTTCGAAATTACCCTCCCTGATACAGATGCGGTCGCCTTCATGCGGATATTCCTGGGGGTGGGGTCGCAAGTTCCTTAAAAAAGCCAATGGGAGAACTTTAAGCTTTTTGGCCTTAGATATTAGGTCTATCCTTAAGAGTTTGAACTTTTTTTGGGCCTGGTTGTTGAAGAAGAGAGGTTCCTCTCATCTACATTATCCAGCGGCTCTGGCAAAAAGTCATGGATGCTGAGAGACAGTTTCGCACCTTCAGCTTGCAGAAGGTCAGGTGCTACTGCTGTTCTGTAAACCACCTGGACAAAAGTGGAAATTCCATTCCTTGCGACAAGGAGCCTTGGTTTGTCGTACTCGCACAGGGTATCGGTATGAGTGCGTCTTTGGGGATTCTTAGTCATCGAGTCTTTCGCCAGGGCTATTTTAATTTTGGGATGCTAGCAGCGAAACCCTTAATTACTTCATCATGATCTGCTTGCTTTAAGCCCCGTGCATTTTTGAACTTTTCTTACCCGTATATGATTTATATGTCAGAGGTTCGCAAAAGAGGCGATCTCATCTGAATGCAATAAGATTTCGTAGGATCCTTAAGAATCCCCCCCCAACCGTCTCCTATGTTCTTGAAGCACCCAAGGAAATAATCGAAGATTGCATTGTCGAGTGGTACGGCTCTGTAGAAGACTTCGAGGTGGGTGTCCGCACCCATGTGCACGATGCCTTTATTGAGCAGGTGACCCGCTTTCCTCTCGGGTATCAATGGACGGTCGCTTGCTTGAGAAGAATGTAGAGTAGAAGTTAACGGGCTGTGGCGCTTGCCGCGGGGGTGGTTGTGGTGGTGATGGTAGGGGTGTAGTGGTATAATGAACAGTTGTCCTAGTAACAGTAAACAGATGCTAAACGGTAGCATCAGTGTTCCTGGCGTTGGTGTTTGCTGTCGTTGCTGCATCTGCTGCCACTGCTCAGGCTATTGCTACAGCCTGCTCTTGCTGGGTTTCGTTGTTTATAAGTGGTGTTTGTTTTACTGTCATGACAGGTATGGTCTACCAGTAATAGCAGTAGTACGCTTTGGCCTTTTTCGTGCTTTTGTCTCCTTGCTAGTGCCGGATACAAGGAGTAGGAAATGTGGACGTCTATTCTTACTGGAGAGCTTGGATTGCCTAGTAGTCTTATTATGCTAAGCGCCACTGTTAGAATTTGCTGTCGTCGTGTGCTGCTGCTTGTATACTGTATACAAGATCCCAATATTATACATGAGGGCCCAAGTAGTACCAGAAACCAGTACTCAAGACCTAAACCCTAAACCCTAAACCGTGTTTTGATCGAGGTCGGGATGACCACGTGCATACTATGGGGACAGCTGGATGCCATCGCGGCCCGGGCACATGGTGGCGCCTATAGTTATGCTGCCTCCGTACTGGTTGTCACCATGGCCTGGTATCTGTGGATCACACCAACGCACTTCTTGATCATGATCAGGATTATTGCCTACATGATGCAGATCTGGCAGTCGAAATCACTCCTCCTTCGTTGTTTCGCCACTTGCGTCGGCTACATGGTCATTGGGGTGCTTACATTTGTTCCCCATGCTCTTCAAGCGGTACTATACCAAGTCAATCCCGAGCCTCTGATCGGTTCGGCTGTGTTCTGGGTCGTGGCTCTGTGCGTTGCATTGGTAAGCCATTACTTTCTTGCCAGGCCCTGGAAGCAAGGGCCAGGGACAGCACACGCAAAAGATTCGATTTGACATGCTCTAGGCACCCTTTGTCAACTGTGGGCTTGCCAAAGTGGCTTCTGTGTCAGCTATGTCTGATGTTCACTAGTGGCTCGGAAGATTCCCCACAGGGTGTCTCTTCTCGAAGCGCGTGTTTCAAAGTCAAAGGTTCAAACCCTGTGCCCGTGGTGTCCAGACTGGGCCCGGCCCGCCGCAAGCATCCTACCCTAAACCCTGACTTAAACCCCTAAACCCGAAACCCTAATCCCCTAAATTCTAAGCCCCTGAACCTTAAACCCCTAACCCGAACCCGAAGCCACTAATAAACCCATAAGCCCCTCAACCCTAAACCCCTAAACCCAAAGCCCCTGAACCCTAAACCCCTAAAGCCTAAAGCCCACAGCCCCTAAACCCTAAAGCAAGACCAGCCGCAAGCCAAGACTCAGACCTGCAACGGAACCCTCAACACACCCCAGCCCTGCTTCCAAAACCAAGACCCGGGGTTTAGGGGTTTAGGGTT